TTTTTTTTTGCTGTTCATCATCTCATTCCAATTCCTTGTTTAACCACATCAATTTCAATACCGTCTGAACCTTACCGTCGAAAAGCGACGATGTGTCACCTCATTAATTGCCTGCTTCCTTTAGGATATCTATTGAATACACGTCTGGCACTCTTTGAAAACATAACTGGAACTGTGTCACATGCTTACAAAAAGAGTAAAAAAAGGCTAATTTGATACTATGGCCTTTCAAATCAGTGTCTTCTATCCACCCCTAGCTCTTATCGCATGGTGCATAAAAAGTTAATTGGTGCCAACGTTGAGTTTCTCTTGTCTTGTAGGTTTTGGTTGGATTTATACTCTGAAAAGTATGCTGAAGACTGATTTTTAGGTTAAATTAATAAAGGTATGAATCTTTATTCTGGTAAATAGAAATTGCTGCATAATTAAGTGTTATACCATATTACTTTCTTGTAATATTTTTTGAATTAATAAATGTATTTAAAAACCACTGTAGGTCAAGTACTTTCAGATTAAGAAACGTGTTAATGGCGTACTTGGTGGTCTGCCAAGAGAAAACCTCAAACAGTTATTGCGACGGGATATCCAGGCTATAGACGACGTACTCCAGGATCAGAAATTTTTGTTTGGCGACAAAATGACAGTGGTATACGCTCTTTTCTTTAGTTTTATCCGTCTATTGGTGTTTTTTTTTTTGCAACGGAATCACATAAAGATATTTATAAGTGAATATCTTATCAAATGATTCCCGACTTTTGACTTTTCGCTTTCTTACTTTTTTTTGCCCAATCTTTTTTCCCTTCCAGACGGACTGTGCTGTTTTCGCCCAGCTGGCAACGACATTTTACCTGCCATATCGACAGCTAATCACAGACATGCTAGAGGACGAATTTCCTCGAGTTCGACATTATTTGCAGAGGATTCGTCAACACTACTACCCTGAGTGGAAGGAACAATAATGATCTGTTTCGTAGATGTTGGGGTCAAATACAACACAAACCAAATTTTGCTATTTTAGAAATGTTTTATATTCACAACGTTTCAGTTAATACCTGATGAATTGCATAGTTTTAGATGATTGCAGGCCGATTTGAACTAACTACCTAGGAACTTCTCAATTTATTGTACTTCTTGGCGCTTTATAATGTTTTATGTCAAGCATTTTGTAAGTGTGTATAACTTGTAATAAGTTGTTTTAATCAATCTCATAAATGGATAAAGATGAATACTAGTCAGCTTTGTTAAGAGGTGGCAATCTGTGTGGGTATGCCATACCCTTCTCCTTCTCATCTCTGCAACTCATGAAAAACTCTTTAGGGAGTGCAATGCTCACTTCTAATCGCTCTTGTGATTGCGCATGTTTTCTTTAAAGTCGGTTTTCAGTGATAAAGTGAGCTAGCATATAACTACCCTTTGCCCGCTTAATTGTCATTATTCTAATTTTCTGCATTTTGGTCCAATTTATAGTCCCAAGTTGGCATAAATTCGGCACTTCATGCTTTTTCTACTGTTTGTGTGAATTCTGTTGTGACGACAGGATCGTTGCTGTCATCTCAGACGTAAACTGCATGTCTTTCATGCTTTTTTTTTTAATGAAATTCGAGAAAAGCTAGAAATCTGACATCAGTTGGGTCATATGGATATCTTGCGCCCTTTTCCGTTATTTTCGAGAAAAATTTGGACTAGCATTAGCGCGCCTATAATTATTTCAAACTCTATACTTTTCAACAAATCATTTTTTTAAAATTTGGTATTTATTAATTTTTTTTGCTGTTTTATTACTTTTCTTCAAAATTCCAAATATAAACAATCTACTAATCGCTTTTCGATGGAGACAGTTTTTTT